ATCGTATATTTGTCCTGCGCCAAATTGATGAGGAATCGTGGAAGTACGCCCGTCCGATGTAAATGTGGTTTGTCGACCTGGGAAAAGCCCATGACTGGATTCCCGCAACAGTCTGTGGTCATGCCTTCGAGCATACGGAATAAATGGTCAGCTGTTAAGGGCAATCCAATCACGGTATTCTGATAGCAGGTGCTGCGTCAGAGTAAATGGCGTTACAACAAAGTCTTTCAGGGTTCGCACTGGTCTTCGCCAAGGCTGTGTCCTGTCCGCTATCCTGTTTGTGTAATACATGGATAAAAGAGTCAGGAGCAGCCAAGGCGATTCGGGTATCGGTGTAGGAGTTGTGAACACGAGAAAGTTGCTGTTTGCAGATGACCTTGTTTTGTTGGCATCTTATGAAACTGATTTACAGTGCTCTCTGGAAAGGTTCGCAGCTGAGTGTAACGTAACCGTCATTCATATAACGTATCTAAAACGAAAAGCCTAGTATTTTCTCGCTCTCTTGTCCGTTCCTCTGTTCAGATAAATGGAGAAGCAGTGGAGGAGGTGGAGAAGTTCAAATACTGTTAATGTCGTATTTACTGGTGATGGAAAATGGGAAGAAGAGAAGGACTGGCGGATTGGAATAGCCAGTTGCGTTCTCAGTGAACTAGCCTGTACCGTTGTGACTAAAGCAATGGTGAATCTGAAGATTAAGCTCTCGGTGTTCCAGTCCTTGTACATTCCCATGATCGCCCACGGTTATGAATGGTTGGCCATGACCGAGAAACTTCGATCCCTGGTACAGTGGACTTTCAGAGACGAGTCGCTGGAGCTTAGCACCTCGACATTGTCCATTTTGCACCTGTTTCCGCTAGCCGCACGAATAATTAATTATAGATTATGAAGGAAATGAAGATGGAATATAATGCTAGATGCATTTCTTAAGTGTAAGGAAAGGGAAGAAGTGACATGGTGGCTGATTCTTAATCTCTAATAGGAAAGAAGTTTAACTGAAATTTAAACCGAAGAGTAACTTCATCTGCAATTTTATTGAATACAAAAGTTAAAACATCAAAGAATATATCGCAGTGTACTGTGACGTAGGCACCGAGAAGTGGGTAACAGGCAGTCATGCGAAAAACTGAAATTGCATTTATCATCTGACTATAGCTGTATTACACACTCATGCCGAACTCGGAGTAAATTATGGCACTGCGTGTGCGCGAAATGACTGCCATGGTATTTGACCCATCTAAAAATGACTTCCTCCTCGAGGTCATCATAAGATGAAAGCTGGACAGTCTTTATTAAATGTATTCAATTTCAAAAGTTTTAAAGGTTCATATTTGTTATTTAC